ATGCGCTATGCACTATTCTAACGTTCAATGTTTTAATTGCGGAAAAATAATTGATAATAATTATTGTAGCTTTTCTTGGTATTTTGTGAAGGAAAAGCCGTAAACTGAAGCATATTAATACTGTATTTTGTACAAAGGTATTATCAGTTTAAAGCTATATTATAAAGCAGCTATTCAACCCGCGAAGGTAACAGAAATGGTGGGTTGCATTATAGGTACTACTTACTGTTTTTTTATGGGTTAAGCCGGAAAACGAGCAGACGAATCACCTGATGGTAAGCAATCGGCGTCGCCCATGAATACCAAGGGTGTGATGTACACTTGTCTTTACAAGTGCTTTACCAGCCATTTATGGATTAGGAATTTCAAAATTGTTGAGGATTCAGAAATTGGGGATATTGGATTACTACTCTCCAGAAGTCCAGACACTAAAATAAAATAATAAAATGGAAGATACATTAATAAACACCCTTGCTCCTAGGTCAGGCAGGATACAGGATACTAAAGATTATAATGCTCCATCGTAGGTCACATCATCGCTTACCACCAGGCGAGATAGGGGTCAAACGTCAGTCCCATCTAATATAAAAAAATAATTATTATCTAGTTACATTATAGAGATGCTTTGCATATTATATGCACACTAGCTTTTACCCGCGGCTTCGCTCGCGTCACAAAAGGATAAAAAGTAGCCTACGTGACAAATAACAATGCACACAGCGTCATCTATACCAATACTTTTGTTTTCCTTTGGGAATATCAATTTTTTCCGGGATAAAAAGTACCCTATTATTTAATCCAGACTTCTAACTTTAGGTACGTCTGCAAAAATTCAAAGCATTCGGTTCAGAAGTTACGGCGTGAAAGCGGAACAAACAAACAAACTCACTTTCCAATTTATAATATTAGTAAGGATAAGGATAAGGATACTATGCATGTACTATAAGTCATATTTATTACCAAACTAAACCTATGATATCTAAATAGGTAGATACAGTATGATGTCATTAATATCTTTGCAAAACCCTTGCTGTTTTCGTAAATAATATAAGGACCTATTATGAGTTGATACTTCACTGTAGCAACAGTAGTGGGACCTTTAATAAACAACCCAGTTTTTACCTCCGTTCCTTTATTGAGTGCGAAAGAAGTTCAAGTAGCATTTAGTATTTATTTTAGTATAATTATTTTATATGAGAGATATAATTATAGCTATATCATATTGCCACTGATTTTGTTTTTAATGAAAACAATGAGGACTGCATCTGACGCGTTGATTGTTTATTTTGCTTCGTTTTATCGTAATGATGTAGGTAGGGGTGTAGATTGTGTATGTACAGGGTGTGTATTTATGATGCAGCTGGTGAATTCATTCTATATTACGTAAGTGTCAATATTTAAAACAAAGTGATCAGAGAACTGAACGTTAGGGTTCAGGGTTCGGTTCCCTTCAGGCATTAGGGGACGGTCATTTACACTCAACAACAGACATTTTTTGGGCCCTCGTGGATAATAATATGATTATATTAACTTCTTAATCGTGGCTAATAATATGATTATATTTAACTTCTTAACACAATGTGATGAAAAATACACAACATTTATTCATACAGTAGTATCTAAATATCGAAAATAGGGTATATAATAAGGTAAGTGGAGAGCGGTCACCGGTCACGGCCTGGGGATTTGGCAGTAACGATCATGTATTCTTTTTAAACCTTACCCCACACTAAGATTTTCTCCTGTGTCGTGTGTGCGTTTACAAACATACAATATCATATATTATACATGACACCCAGACCCAAAACAATTTGTGGATCACACAGAGTTGTATGATGTTATCCATTTTTGTAATTAGTTTCTATTAATTGTAACATTTTAACTTTATTAATTGTAAAATTTAACTTTGCTTGCCGAAAACAGTAGGCGATGTAGGTATATGGGACTATTATTTTATAATTATTATTACCTACCTGTAATTACCATACTTTGTGCAAAAAAAACGTTCTTATTCTTATTCCATGCTGGAACCAAACCAGTTACACGTTGCGTGGCAGACGGTTACCCAGCCGCATCAACTGTGCAGTCAATCATAGATGAAACGATATAGATGCATAATTAAAATTGGTTCTGATACTTACTTTCACACAACATTTACACAAATAATTTTACACTTAGCGGAAAACCAATAGATACCAGAACGATATTAACTTTATAATAAGCTTATCAGTAGCATAAACTGCATAAAATACCTATTCGTATTATGCTTTCGATAAGAATGTCAACTTCGCATAATATCTTAGGAATTTAAATACAAATGACTTATTCAAGACTAGAATTTCTGGTTGCATAGTTGGTTATTTAAATATGGCCGCTGTGTCAGAATTCTTGATTTTCAATGAAAGAAGGGCAAAATCTCTTCGAGTTTCCAATTTTGAAATACACTTTGAAATCTGTGACATGTACCTATGGCTAAGTACCTAGATGAACACATTGAATTTATCTGATAATCATTGAATCATGATGAAGACTACACGGTTGGTGCGGTGGCTGGGCAACCGGCTGCCGTGCAACGTGTCGCGGGTTCGATTTCCGCACGGAACAACACTTTGTGTGATCCACGAATTGTTGTTTCAAGTCTGGGTGTCATTGTGTATGTGAACTTATAAGTTTGTAAACGCACCCACGACACAGGAGAAAATGCCAATGTGGGGCAACGTTTAAAAAAAACGTTGAGATATCGCCGCCTATTAAGAGAATTAATTTAGAACATACTTAGATACACGATACCTACCTTGCCACATTTTCCTCGGTCTTAATTTTCATATCGATACCACAGATTTATTCTAATTTTGAAAATACTTACCAAGTTCGGATACTTTAACGTAAATATTTTCACTATTCATAAAACATCATCCTGTACATTTTCACCTTCCCATTAATGGGGTACCATTGTTTATGTTATTCCAACGTATTTGCCATACAAAAGACAGCCCAGTTGTTTATTTTATGCCAAATCACTACCCTAGTGTTCGCAATGATATCTATCAAGAACGCATATTTTATTAAAAAACATAGGGGAATACGCCTTCATGAATTTCATACTTGATTGGCACTCGATATACTCGTCTAGGGAAATTGTACTTTATTCTGTACACGGTAGGCGTTATTTTTGAGTGGTTTGATAGGATATTAATTTGGGAACAGGGGTGTATCTGTTTTATTATTATAATAAATTTTAAAATTGTGTACTGAACAGTGATAATGACTGAGTAAATAGATTGTTTCGGTTTAAAAAATGGATATGTTTATTTTGTATGGAGTGGTACCTATAGCATTTGTTAATATTTCTATAGAAACATTTGAAAAAGGATAATAATATGTACTGGGATAATCATCATGTGTTGTGTTGGAAATAAAATCCTTAATTAAATTTTCTAATAATTTTAATTACGTATAATATTTTTTAATCGAGATATTTATAGTCCCGTCATTACAATCGGCTATAATTTACAACATATTTTTACAAATACGCTTATTATTAAATTTCTCCATAAATTACAATTTATGTACCTAAACATTAATAATGATTAAAAAGTTATTTTGTATGTAACTTACAGGATATATTTTACTTAAATCGAAATGTGTTGCAGTAAAAAAAATGTAATAATTATTTGATATGGCAACTTATAAATGCAAATTGAATAAAAAATGGCCGTTATTTTAAAATTACCAAGAACAACTCGGATTGCATGGTTTTAAAAATATTAATAAGTTACTGAATATTGTACTAATTGATGTAATTCATGTTTAAAACAAATCATTTATTTAAAAATGGAATGTAGACGAACAAAGAAAACCATAGATACAAAAGACAGATTAATTTACAAAAAATAATCTTATGGAATGTAACAAGCAGAATAGTTTTTACATAATCTGTCCTAAAAACTATTTGTTTATTAAAAAAAAAGTCTGTTAAACAAAGTTAAAATCAGTCCATATTTTCAAAATTAACAAAAATGGCGGATACAATCAGATCGTAACGGTTTTTTATACAAACGTCAATGAACAAATATTACGATATCTTCTTACAGTTTAGACATTTAAACATTTTTTTTTATATTTTACAAAATGACACATAGGAATCTAGAGACAAAAATATAACAATTATTTTTAACTATATTTACAAATAATATCAAAACTCGTTGTAATTAATTGGACTTTAAAAATTCCAATAAATCATTGTGAAAATAACACTATGGTTTATTCAAAAAATGTTATTCGATATTTGACATAATATTTATTGAAATGTTTATACCTAGTGTTATCGTCACAATAATTACGATAAAATGTGTTTTATCGGTGAAAATTTAAATATTTTTTTATAAGTAGTAGGTAGGTATTTATTCGATTTAATTTTCAGAGAAAATGGCCTCCATTATATGCAATGTTATATGCAGAAGTAGGTATGTAATATATTATGGATATTTCGATTTACAAATATTTTTTCTAGGTAAATTAGCTAAGTAAATAAGCATATTTTTAAAAATATTTAAGTTTTCATCGATAAAGAGACAGATCTTATTTAACAACTAACTATATTCACAATGTACAAGTAGGCTCACATACCTATACACATATTAATATCTAATAATTTTAATCTATTTCCGAAGAAATTAAGAAGGAACTTTGGGAGTACGAAATAAGAATAAAATACACGTTTCAAATGACCAAAAATTCGGAACAATTTAGTCTTTAAAACTCGTATTGTAATAAAAATCAAATCTTTCAAATAGATATAATAATCTTTCATATAATTTTGACAATTCACCTGGAATCATACCAATAATATAAAGACGAAATTCGTCAAATTTCAATTAAAAAAAGACCTACATATCCCTAAAATTCAATAGAAAAACTAACGTAAAAAACGCAGTCGTTCGAAAACTATAAAAATAAACAAATAAATAAAAATCAACAACAACAAACTAGGTTTCAGGTCAAAATATGACTGTGAGTGGTCGTCGGAACTCGGGCCCTCCTTGGGTGCTTTGTGGGTACTGTCCGGGGTACTGTGGCATGAGGATACTCGAGGATCCTTGGTAATAGGGGAGAGAAGGGGAGGGGTTTGACCCTGATGACGAGGAGCCTTCGGTCCTGTCTTGGGCTTTGGGAGTCATGTCTGGGGAATCAGTAGGGGATCGTGGGGAGAGACTGGATGGAGCTGAGTTTACGGAGCTAAGTCCTGCCATGGCGGCAGCTGATGCTTCAGAGTACATTTTACTGATGTCGACTGGGTAGGAGCGTTGTTGCTGCTGGTCCATGTACATGTATGCCTTGGATAGGGCTGCGGAGTCCAGGTATCCTCGAGAGGGGTCTGGGTACATACCGTAGCTGCGGTATTTTTCTGCTTCTATCGAGTACTTCGACATGTCCATTGATGAGCCAACCTGAAACAAGGAGATTTTTGGTTAATTGTTGTGTTGTATAATTTTGTGGAACAGGTCAATATATGAATAAGTACTTTGAGCACTGGTTCACCACCTCCATATAAGTACTTGATAAACTTATGTGACAGATAGTTCATACAAATTACGTTCTTAATTCAAATGTATCTGGTAGATAACGGCTATCCAGCAGCTGTAGCCAAATGCCATTTAACGCTTGTCTACATGTAGAATAGAAAACCAAATTATATAGAATTGACGTAAGTTTTGACACTTATCAGTGTCATTTCCATACATTTAGTTTTCTACTCTCTCTGTAGACAAGCGCTAAAGTGGCGTTTGGCTAAAGCCACAGATATTGCGAAACAGGCCCTAAGTATAATTCAGTTTATGAACAATTTAGTAACAGTTTAAGTTTAAAAAATAATTGGCCACTTCAAGTAACTTGAATACATTAAACGAAATTCTATTAATAATTATATGAATGCAATGAAACGAGTTTCAAGAACGACCTCATCAGAACGAGTAAAGAATTCAAGTGAAACGCATTTAAATGAATAAAATGTTCATTTCAATATCGTATTCATAAATATCGGATAAAGTTAATACCGTATAACGAAATGTCAGCAAACAAATCATAAATCGGGACATTTCCCAACATTTACAAGTCGACAGTACCCCGAGACCTTTCATACAAACTTTGTAAGAAAACTGTAATCTATCTTAACAAGAATTACTCACAAACAACATAATTCAACTGAAATTAAATATGAATTTTCTTTAACAATTTACATATGAATTGTACACAGTCAACATCCTACTTTATTCTCCGAAAATAAGGTCCCAATTTGTACGAGAATGTATTGAAACGTAATGCAGTACTGTATTTTACACGCTCAGACACACAAATCATGCGTAACAATGGAATCGAATAAAGCTTCGAATTTTAAAATTTTTAATGAAGTGAGCCGTACACAATATTGTGAGGAAAATATCGTTTGTGTGTTACGACACACGGACACTTTGTTCAGCGAACAATGGCTGTATACAGGTTGAAGTTACGAACTGTAATTTACACAGCTCGACAGGTGATACATTTTGTTACGTTAGTACTTTGCATAGCTTTGGCATTTAACTGAATATTCTGCTTTAAATTTAGTATTCGTAAAACAGTCCTGTTGTAAATTCACACTGTATCTCCGTATATTTGACAAGTTATTTAAGTTGAAGTTTCGCTTGACGCTTAGAACAAGTTACACTGGACTGTTTGTAGCCACAAACAAGTTGATTGTTAATTCGTGTGTCGTTGTATAGAATGAATATAATTCTATTTTACAATAGTGATTGTTATGACTTTGACTACATCATAAATAGGGATTAGTAGCACCTATTGGACTTACATTACAAACTATCAAAAATCCATAAAAGGTTTACGTTCCTAATCCCGAAAATTTAAATAACAAAATAAATAATGACAATAGGATGTTACTATGAAATGAAGCGTTCGGTTCGCCCACTAGTTAGTTGGTTTATTTGAAGGGCTGTGTGTAGCGTGCGTTTGCGCATAACATACGACGGCCGGTCAGCGCTAGAGTGCTAAATCAGGATTAGTGAGACGGCCAGGCATCATGTAGTGGAGTTTACTGCCCGCCCCTACAGCTATTTTATTGCAAGCCACTTTATATGAGCCATGGTTTACTCTTTTTTTTTTCTTTTGGAAAACTATTTAAGCGGTATTTTTCAATGATGGTTGTAATAGATTTTGGTGTATTCGATACTTATCTATTTGTCGAGCAGATATAATAAATTCTAAGAATATTTTGCTTGTACTAACAGATGCTACATGATCAGGTGAGTTTCTATTACTTTATGTTCATACGAAAATATGATTTATTATGTACGTATTTATGTATCTAGTAAGTAATCAAGAACATAGCGACAAAATTCCCTTCACACTTCATCACACATCAACAGCCTATAATTGTCATTGACCACTGCTGACCAAAAACCTCTTCTCACACGGAGAAGGGTTTAAGCATTAATCACCACGCTTGCCCAATGTGGGTTGGCGTTTTCAAACTTATGATTATACAAATTTTAAGCCCAGGTTTCCTAACGATGTTTCCCTTCATCGTTTGTCAATGGTGTCTAAATAATCTTAGAAAGTACCTAGATACATGTAACTCGGAAAAAGTCACATTGGTACTTGCCGTTGGTAGGTTTCGAAACAAAAAACCCTTCACATTAGTAAAAGATTTTTTTAAAAATGGAGCAATCCAAAAACTACTAAATGACTCTAAAACTGATTTCACACCACATCAAGATTGGTAATAAGTCGCGAACCGGCCTACAACCTGCACCCGTGTAAGCAGTTGCCTACCAACCGTTCGCCAAGCGTATAAATCATCTATCAACATAATCGAATAGTAAAACTACAATGGTTCGTTAAAGAACTCAACATTTGGCGGTACCACACGGAACTAGGGTTGCTACGTGTTGTTACCGATCGATTCTTTGCTTCTGGAATTTGGAAGTTCTTTTGTAGGTTTTGTAGAGATAGTGAAGCTGCTAATAGACTTATTTGTTTTGTAACAATATTGTTATTGTATATTTTAAATTAGAAAATCGAAGACGCTTTTAATAAAGTAGAAGTAAAAGATTTAACAATTAAAAATAATCCAAGAAATCTTGATTAAGGAAAAATCAATGACATCAAAATAACTTATCAAAAATACACAAATGAATAAATAAAGGTTACGCAAAACATTATCATCCACTGTTTAAAATACTAAATTTAAAACTGACAACCCTAATAACCCGAAAACGCCTAATCACTGTTTTTAATACAACACAGGTAAGGTTGCAGTTGTTGATATGAATAGTGGCTGATTATATTGTTTCCTACTGGTATCCGATACCGGTACCGCGAGAATTGGTCACGGTAATCCAAAAACCGCGGAATCATCCAATAGACCAACTATTAACGTCGGGGGTGCGAAAGACCGAAGCCGACGGGTGCGGGGTTAATTAAATGTTTTGGTCACACCTCGGCGTTTTAAGGTTAGGCCTTTTTTGTGATTGTGAGTTATGATGTTGGTCCTTTTTTGTACATATGTTGTTATTAAATAAGTGTTTGCGGCAAAAAAGGTGATTGGTCGGAGCTACCCTTAAAACGGTGGAACTTTTTAGTGTCATGGATATCTAATGTAATAAATAAAGATTAAATCGGTTAGGAATACTCGTAACAGAAGCAGTATGTGTAACAGTAGAGACTGCAGAGTAGTAGTAGTTAGCTCATGTTGTAAGACCGGCATACATATACCATACACGGAGTGATACCACGGCCTCACAGAAAACCGACGTAAAGCAACGCTTGCGTTGTGTTTCGTCGTGTGAGTGAGGTTACCGGAGGCTCAATTACCTCTACTTCCCCAATTTCCCCAATCCCTGAATGCCCAACGATCCTCAAGCTTCTAATCCCCAAGAGGCTGGTAACACCGTATTCCGGGTGTCTATGGGTGGTGCCGATTGGTTACCATCAAGCGCTCCGTCTACTCGCCTACCAACTAAGGTTGAATAAAGAGACCACCAACACCAAGTAATCTAAACAATAAAATCATTAAAAACTGTTAGCATTTATTTTAACGATGATCATAACATTGAAAGCTGTTATAATGAACGCTTCATTTAACTAACCGAAAACTCTTTGTGTGTAATGATGTCAATGTCAAGTGACTACCGTATTGATTAACTCCTTTATTTAATGATTGAATCATTGTACAAGTAATCATTTTGTTTTGCAATACTATTCAAAATAAAGATGGCGTCAATCTTTGAAGTTTGTTAATTCGTTATTGATGTAAGTTAAAGTTATTGTTTGGGTTCTTTTATGCACTGTGTTTGATTTGGACATGCATTGCATATTGCAATATAGTTTTAAGACTAGCACTATCGAAATAACTAATCAAAATGAAAAGATTTTGGATTAAGAATACTTATTATTGTCGATCGTTTAAGAATTTTAAAACAGTTATAAGTTAAGATATTTGAGAACTTTTTTTTATTAAATAGGAGCAGACGGATCACCTGATGCGTAAGCAATCAGCGCCGCCCATGGACACCCGCAAAACCAGAGGTGTCACAGGTGCATTGCTGGCCTTTTAAAAAGGAATACGCTCTTTTCTTCAAGGTTTGAAGGTCGTATCGGTTCGGAAATACTGCCGACGACAGATTATTCCACAGTATTGCTGTGCGAGGCAGGAAAGCTACGTGAGAAGCGCACAGTTGTGGCCTGCCAACCACCTATACTATGGGGATACATATGCTGTCGTGAGGGTCGATGACGAAAAGATGCGGCAGGTATCAGGTCAAACAATTCGTCAGAGCACTCCCCGTGGTATAAGCGTCTTCTCCTTTTTTGTAAGTCGATTACACAAGTTTACAAAGATAAAGATCACAAAAGTTTAATCAGAATCATGTTCCTTTATTCTCTTATCTGTCAATAAGTTTTTAATGTAAAATTAGTTTTAAAATGATAAGTCGGCCTGGTCCATATAATAGTGCTTAAAGAGAAATTTATCTATGTACACAACCTAATATTGTGTTTGAATTAAACTTACGTATCTAACTGTAATTAATTGTGATTACAAGAACAAATCTTTGTTCAGAGCAACCACAACTGCTTAAAGAAAACATTAAGAAATATTGAATTTCAAAACTTTAACAATCAACGGCCATCATTTATTACTTTTAATTGTGAAAGTAATGTTAAAAGCCTTTACAAAACACGGGTTATCAGTAAATGTAATCAACTAATTGAATATTATGTAGTTATCTTTATAATCTCAACTTTCACTTGAATGTGACCTGAAACTGTTGCATGGTGTGTTGTAAGTTTGCTAAAATGTTTTTAAAGCCGTTGCTTTATGATTTGGGTTCAGAAGCCTAATACCTATATTCAAAAGTGCATCGTTGGGTCCATATATTTTTTTCTACAGCATGAGCCGGTAAACGAGGTGACGGATCACCTAATGGTAAGCAATCGGCGTCGCCTATAGACACCTGGAATACCAGAGGCGTTACTAGTGCGTTAGTGGTCTTTTGGGGATTAGGAATTTAAGGATTGTTAGGGATGGTTTAACTGGTATTCCGTACGCACGACAAAGATTTCCAGTAATGCTAATGTAATTACTGCTCTGTGGACCATAATGATAACTGGCCAACAATTCCTAACTCTTTGGAGAATTATAATCTCATAGTGTGCAACAAAATATAAAGAACTGATGGATAAAACTGCACTAAAGACAAAAGATGAATTTAGAAATCGACAATCCAGTCATGTAACTCAAGCAGTCAATCTATTAAGAACTAAACGAGATCTAATCAAATTACACCACCGACCACGTGAAACTGCACCCACATAACATATAATTCTATCAAGTACTTACAAACAAACAATTTTCTAATCCCCAACATAATGCAATAAACTTAAAACAACGTTCCCTCCTTCAACATAGACGTCACTTTCACAAGATTAAACGTCAAATAGAGGAGGGAAGGAGGTTTTTAAATCGGAGGGCAAAGTCCCAGGGGCAAGGGCGATTAGGGTGTTGTCATAATATTGTGTAGATTTCCTATTACGTACAGGTGATGAGAATAAAAATAAAAATAAATAATCTCTAGATATTACACAAACAAGTACGCAAGTATACATACATTAATTTGATACAAAGCATAATGTCGTAGTACCTACAAAATTTAAAACTATCAGAGTAACTCAGTACTAGGGAAATGCCTGTATTACAGAGATCAGTGCCATTATGGGTTGGTATCATTGTGATTCTAGTATAGCTCTGCTACATACGTTACATTGATAGAAATAAAATTGTGTGAATTTGGATGATAGTGACAAGTATAATCTGGGCAGTTATGAATGTACTTTTAATCTAGCTTCAGTTTTTGTTGCTACCAATGTTTGAATGCTGAGAAGAATTTTAGTAAGCACAAGGAGTATTGCGTGATAAACAACAGGATGGGTTCCTGGTTTGATTTGAATGTAATCGAGTTCACTCGTAAAATAGTTACATGAGTAAACTGACTGCACGGTAACTTATTAGTCTTACCTACCTTCTCAGGATAGCCATAATACAGAATATTAATTATTTTATTATAAACTACACTTAAAAAATCGACTTCAATCCCCTCTTTTTTGAAGTCGTTTATTATACTAAATCCTTCTCCTAAGGCAAATACTTTTCTGAAAACTGCAACCATATTGGTTCAGTCAGTCGCGAGATATTCGCGCACAAACAAATATATACAAGGGAAACTGACAAACTCAGTCTTTTCTTCTTTTGAAGTCGGTTAAAAAGATGTTTTCTCAGACATCATACAAGAAAAACTAAAAAAAAGTATAATTTGAAACTCAAAATCACCTACTTTCCAATGCGCTTTCAAAATAACGATCGGATATTCGCACATTTGACCCCCATCCTTATTTAGGGTGCGTACACGTCAAGTATGGTGTTAATTCCCGAGAATTTGTTCTAGGGAGGGTTCGATTCCGACTAACCGGCACAGATTGGGGGAAGAGATTGCGAGATTCAATGACTTGTGCTAAATAAGTAGGCGTTCTGGATGTAATCTTTTATTTTTCTGACGTGTGATTGAAAAAGGGGTTTGTTTACAAAGAAGTGACGTCATAAGCTTTTGTACGTGTTTTGCTTCTACACGGATTGTTCGTTTGTTTTATTACTAATCGTGGCCGTTGGTGGTACTGTTTGACAGTTCTAGTTTTTAACGACAACATGTTCGAAGTCGCCAAATAGATATTTATAGACCATCTTTATTAAAGCCAGTGAGGTATATCATATGATATCCTATCTCAAAATCAACATATTCAAGTACTGGGCTAGACTAAAATAGTTTTTCTTATCTAATAACAAAGTCTTGGTTCCCTATTATTCCAATTCTTAATAATAAATCTATCCATAAATTCTTGACAATCTTAAATATCAAACTAATTTAATATCAACAAATACGTGTACTATTCATAAATTTGCAATCCCCTTGATTCAACACCGCAGATCTACATTTATTACACCGTCCCGAATGTCCCCTCGACACCTAATTATTTCTCGACTACACGCTGTTTTGAGAGGGGTACACGACGGTGTGATGGGATGATTCTATTTGAATTGAGATATTAATTTAAGTACCTGTTGTTATGTTTTAATTAAATTGTAATTTAATGTTGCATAAGATTTAAAGGTATTTTTGGGGAAATTAACAAAGGGTTATGGTTTACAAATGCTTGTAGTTTGTACAAGTTATTTGTTCGTTGAACCTATAGAAGACCAATTCTCAAGAATTTTACCACAAACAAATAGTATATCTAATGCCATAGGTATGCCTTTTATACAATGGTTTATACAAAGTTCATTTTTAAGTTTCAATCAGAAAATACAAGCCAATTGGTTTTACCTTGATGCGCTTTGATTATATAGACTACCTTTTGTAGCTGTATCTATGATACATAGACCAAGGATGACATGAGGATCAAGGTACCAAAAGAAAGAAATAAAAAGTGTTATATGAAAATTAGCTTATCACAAAAAAATACCATTACCAATCCAATTCCTCATCCTTCATAAAACCATCAATTTCTAACATATGGTTTAACAATGCCAAGCTTCATTACACGCTCATCAAGTGCACTATTTTTTATAAAACTTAAGTAGGAGCGAAAATTACAGAAATTAGATAAAATTATTGACACGCTTCATGATTAGAGTGCGTCAGCATGTTTTTTTTTAAAGAATTTCTCCCGCACGATGTTCCTATTTCATGGTGTTAATAGATTTAAGCAAAACGTTTAAGATTTCATGCCTTTGCGCTAAATGGTTGATAGTATAATTAGCGCCTCCATCGGGCCTTCGTTCGGTTTTTTTCGGTAAGGTTCGGTAATCATCGGTTATTGTTGTTGTTTTTGTTTGAAGGTCAAATCTCTATGGCTTGTACAGACTGTACTAAAGTGAAAAGTATTTTTTCTTAGAAGTTAGTAAAATAAGAGGCCACCGTTATCCATGCCTTTTAATCTTATATCCCTCACTTCACATTTTAGAACCGGATAAATCTGAAGATTTCAAGAAGAATGCAACAAAATTAACGAGATGAGTCAGGTAAGGTAGTGCCTTCTGCAATTTTTGTACATTTTTGATTTTTAGTTCGTTATTGAACTGGGCGTTTGCCCAACTGAATAAACTTACAGCATCAAGTAAGTTTAAGTCTGTATTAATAAATTATAGACGAATGGCAAGACAGAAGTCATAGACAGACTACAAACTAACTTTACACCTATTTTTCTTTTCCAGAATCTTACCTGTGGGTTAGGAGTTAAAGCAGCGCTGATAGCATTCTGCTGAGCTGCTGCAGCTGCAGCGGCCGCCATGCTGGCTCCTAGTGGACCATATGCCGCTCCATAGTAGCCTCCCATTGCTTGACCCATGCCACCGCCTGCCATACCTGTAGAAGAATAGAAGATTTGTTAATTATGATTAATCAAGCAAGAAGACTATAGTCTGTATAACTGCTGGTGTAGGCTCCGTAATTTTAAAGAGTAATTATGGTTTGCGTCTATAATTGAAAACTATTGTAGGTATGAACAATGCAGTCTCACGATGAATGTGATCTTTTCTCCGAGTGGATATTTTTTATTTCCTTTATTAGGTAGGTACTTACTCTACAAAAGAAGAAAAATTAAATGTTCAAAAAATGTTTCAGATATTTTTTATCTATGGGAAATTCTCTAAAGAGGTATCATTCCACAAAGCTTGCCAAGCATCTAAAGAATTCAAAATAAATTCCACAACAGTTCCAAATTCAAAACATTCATAGACGATAGAGCGGAATGTCTAATTCACAGCAGTCGGCAAGTGGCCACCGTAATGGACAGTACAGCTATAGACCGACGCACATTCATAATGGCGCTCCGGGAACTCTGATTCGAGCACCAATTAATTATTTCATTGTACTACGAATAATCCCGCCCTCGAGTGCTATTAACTAACGGTCAGTTCCTTAGACGTGTTTATTAAATACGTCTCGGAGGGGCTAGTTTACTCGCTTATTGACCATTAATTCGGATTAGGAATTTAATTTAGAGCGACTGATTTATTACTACTTAATCTCGATTCATTAATATTTTAATGTGATTTTACCTACTGATCTATATACGGACTTAAATCTCGTAGACCATTAATGAAACATTGTTGCGAGATACAATTAAATTAATATTCTTATTTAATATCGATTTCATATTTTTTCAATAATATATAATAAATATTTGATAAATTAATACCAATAAATTACACAAGCAATCCACGTCAAATGGTAAAATGGAACTGTCAAATTTTGCGGTAAAATATTTATAATCCAACCAAATTAGGATGTCACGACAATCTAAGCACTTGTAATGCTATTACGTGAAAATTGAAATACACTTCATGTCTCGCGTGAAATATTCGAATATAGAATTTAAATAAAAAATATATGAGACACCCCTATTGTGGTGACGTCAGACGAATCTACAATATATTATAAACCGCAGCAAAATTATAAAGCAGTTTATTAAAAGGACAATGAGTCCTCCGTCAAAGCAATAGGGTGCGGTATCGCTTGGGAGTTCGATTTTCGCGAACGCAAATAGATGCGTCAAGGTTTTTAGAAAGGGACGATCGTGATTTTTTATTATATTTATAATTAAATTCCCTGTCATCTCTTTTGGGTATCTGGTCTCCTGGTATTGGCGTTTGCCCAATGGATTTTTTATATTCACATTTTCCAAGTTTTCATTTAATTTGAACAAAATGTGAATGAGTTCACATTACTCACAATGACATTGATTGACGGCGAGGATTTTTTTCCTAGTAGGTAGGTAAAATATAAGACTCAAATCTTATAAATGCTGGTATTATTAAGGAAACATATAACTGACACAAATTTGAAGTGCTTAGACATCAATGGTTCTACTAGTCTTAAATTTAAAACATGTAAATTGTTTCATATTTACAGTCACACAAATTTGAAGAAAGCGAAAATTGGAAGGATATTCCAAAACACTGGAGAATCTTGTAATAGAATCAGTACGTTCGTTATTACCCATTGGTATATCGGAAAGCAAATATACGCGAGACAATGTGTTTCTATTGTGTACAAAAAGAGCATGGTTAACAAAATAACCAATAAAAGTAAAGTAAGGTAAACAAGATCAAAGTAATGAGTGCCTCTTCAACTTTTCACAACCAATTTAGTTTTATCATAATCGTCTCTATAATTACAATATTTTTTTCTAACTCAGGCTTTGAATACTTTAATCTCATCACGTGGCAACTCCATCTGATTTTCTCGAAACGAACCCTTATAATACCTACCATCAAAGGCTGCACACATAACCCTAAATTAACTCACTGTTGGTCGAACAGACCGTCAACAAAAACCCAATTAATTTCCACCAACGGTTTACACAGAAACCGCTTAAATGCAACATCAAAACTGTAAATGACTAATTTTAATTAATAAAACAAACGAAAATTTCCTTAAGAGTTGTTACGTTGGACTTTTTCGACTCGAAACTTGGGCTGGAAGTTGAAAAAGTCCTTGAAAGGGTTCAAAAGGGTTATTAAAATAGGCGATTTTTGTTACTTTGTAAAAGTTTGAAAAGTAAAAGAAAAGCAACGTAGGTACCTTGGATATTAATGTTTACGAGAAAACGAAAAAGTTGTATTTTTTTAGGAATTTTAAGAACTTACACGTGGAACCCTTAGTAGTGCATCAATCGGCTTAAAAGTTGTTAGTTTTGGGGGAGATTTTAGTTCGGCGATAGCAACACAAGTACATTAATATATCTACTCCTCCTGTAGGTACTAGAAAGATACAAAACACAGTTACCTCAACAATCCTTCGACATCAATAGAAGTCGACAGTCCACAAAAATTAAAAGCTGGCTCACAATGGATGTAATTTCAAACACGATTCACCTCCGTCAGAATCCATATCATTCATAATGACCATCTTCCGACCGGCCCCTGAGTATGTAAATATAGCCCGACTATTGTGAGGATCGACAGAAAGGTCGGACACCGGGCTAAATGGGATTTTCGTACGGGTTTCCTTTTCAATGCCCCCGTTTTTTTCTTTCCTCTCTCTTTATATTTGAATGTGTTAAATTTCTCGGAAAAATGCTTATTTTCTGTCCCGTCAGGTGGGTAAGGTGATTTATAGAGTGACCTTAGATGGTATCAATGGTTGAATGTGTGGCTTATTTCAGGAGTTTCGGCCGAAATGAGTTTTGGGTTAGTGAATTGTTCGTACTTTATATTACGATTGTATAAAACGAACTAAAAGGTATTCGTATGTAGGTATAGATACAACAATTGGCCTTTGAATTCAATATAACGATAGGAACACGTGGTAAGTGAAGAAAATGACCTTTCGGTAATACAAGTATCTGTCGTCTCGTTCCCTATTGTATAAAACATCATACCCAATTTTCAATCTACCAAAAATATCTTCCCTCAGATCAAAATGTACTAAACGAACGATAAAATCAGATCACAACATAATCCCGTGGAACCCTAAAACAACCTTCAGCAGTTCCATTTATCCTTGAAAAACGATCTGAACAAATGACAAGGGGTATATTTTCGCCGTTTCATAGCATGGGGAGGGTTGTCCGCAGACGTACTTAACAAACCGTGGTTAAATTGATAGATTAGCCACAATTTGTGCAAATCATCGTTTTTGCTTGTTTGTAGTTATGGATATTAATGTGATATGGTATTTGGGTTGAGTGATACAATTATCTCGTTGGGGTTGTGTAATTATTTCAAGCCTCATAATTACTGGTGGTGTATGCAGGTGTATTGGTGTGTGTTTAAAATAATAATAAAACTAGGTTATCGTTCTATTTTCAAGTTACAAGAGGGTTATTGAAGTATATTTGTTACTGAAACAATGTTCTCATGTACACTATCCGTATGTCGTAAACCCCAAAAAATCAAAGCAAAAATATAAACAAAACGGCAAGTCATTTCCTACAGCCATAAACAAAAATTTCTCGCTCCACACGTCCGTTCTCCCTAACGTCCCGCGCTCAACTGTCATGTAAATGACGTCACGTGACCGGAAGCAGTTTGGCGGGGGGAGGGTCTTCCGGCGACGCACGCGATTGGACACTTCCGTTCGGTAACAAACTGCTGGTATATAATATGCTAATCATGAATAAGCAATTTATTGGGTTATTGTATGGATTAGCATTGCCTGTTTTGCCCTGTATAAGTGAGGATTAAGGCTGTTGGATTTTTTTGGTGATAACAAAGAATTTTTGTTCTTTAATGTACAAAAATAATAATAAAAATGAACCAAAAATAGTTGGTATAACGACTTTGAACTCAATTTTCAAACATAATATTTTACTGAAGCCTTTTCCAAAGTGGGTATACAAAACACTTAAGTAAATGCATATTTGTTTGGCAAAGTTTTATACTTTTGGTAGAATGGAATGTAGTATGAACGAGCAAGAAACACCACCCTTAAAAACTTTCGCGTTCAATCTCTTTTCATTCCTTATTGTCAATACAACACCAAATCTGATGGCCTCCATAAAAATCCAATTATAACTTTCTTTTAATTCCATTACTTACTTTTTATCAAAGTTAACAGTACACATGTTTTTGTCATTAAAACACAATTGTATGAGGAAACTCCACAAACCAAAACCTTTGGTACTTGAAGAAACGTCTGATGGAAAATTACTAGTCCCGATTTTTTACCAGCAATACTTAGAATGACTGACATTATTTTAATTAACCGTACACTAGACCAGACTTTTTCTAGTAAGTACCATGATAATTCCTTACAACTCTATAAACCAGATATTACCAGTTTTCTCCAGATAGAAGCTATTTTTACTAGCTTAATTGAGAAATCGCGTGGACAAGTGCGAGCCCAGTTTTTTTGCAACATAGTGTAGGACCAAATCGATTAGCTACACTCAAAGTTAAGGAAAATGTAACATCATTAGATGGGTAAACAACGAAACTGTTGTTTCTTAAAATAAACTGGCGAGCAAAAAATTGACACCTCACTGTTTTTGTAAAAATCTATAATTAGATATGCTATGATGAAGAATAAAGGGAAAATCGGTGCCCAGGCTTAGCCCGTTTTTTGGCTGACATTGTAAGCAAACAGTAAACTAATTTTGATTTGTCATTGTGGTATTTTCCTGACTTGCGTTAAGTTTTAGCATAGTTTTTACAAATTCGACGAAAAAGGGTTAACCAAGAATAATGGAAAGTACAAGGGTGTAACGACTTCGAATTATACATAGAAACAATTGGCTAAAATACTTCTGTATTTCCTTAGCTTGTCCTGATCCTGATGTTTCATTTTCTTATGCTATATTAGATTGATGCTAGTTGCCTTTCAAAACAGTATTGTCAACCACTTAGGTATATTCAAGTACT